TCATTTGACAAAAATGTGAATCCAGTTCAAGGAGGCTCTGGGTAATTCTGGCCTTGGGATGGAGGGTGCATGGTTCAAATAGTGATCTCACACAATAGGCTCAATCTAGATCAGCCTGTCATCCATACAAATAGTAAAGAGCACAAAAAGTTGGTATCATGAACTTTGCCCTCCCGAAATGAAGTTATAAGAATTCATGTGAAAGATGAAGTGGAAGCAGGAGTGGAGATTTAGGTATTTCTTGGTACAAATGATCTGGGGCTAAGGTACTTCTATTATATGGAGTATGGCTAAGGCTCATCGTTCCTTTTCAGGGAGGAAGCGATTCCGTTTTCTCTATATGATCAATGATGCTAACAGGGGATTATGCATTTTCCATGCCAGAAAGAATGCATCTCCTAAACTTCGTGAAGTTGTTTCCAGCATGAAGACATCTTCAGAAGGGGGCATTCGCAGGTGTTCAAGACGTCTTCCGAAGATGTCTTGAGGGCGCCTTATCTCTTCGTGAAGACCAAATTAAGACATCTAAGCCAGGGGTGTCCAGCTGGCGGCCCGCGAGCCGAATCCGACCCGCCAATTCATTTTCGTGAGATTCGGAGATTCGTTAGTGAGACCCCTAAACACACCTGAACCAAATCATTTGATCCCCGCCAAATTGAGTTGGACACCCCTGTTCTAGACATTCTTGTGCTATAGGGGATTGTGCACGATTAGGTATGTACAGCACCTGAAATTCCTGTCCTCTGACCACAGGTCAGGTTAAATTACTTTGAAATCAGGCATGTCCGGAGAGAGGTTCCTTCATACTTTTACAGGCGGCGTTGGCTTTTCTGGTCAGTACGACACATTAAGTGTTACCTCAAAATACGAGGGTGGTTCAATACTTACCTGCACTTTCTATTCTAGAAAATAAATAGGATGGAAAAAAGTCTGAAAGCCTAATATGGCAGATAGCCCCAATCTTCAATGTGATTTACGCCAAGACAGGCAACCTTTGCGCATTCGCAGTTGAGTGTGAGGAACATGGCGTATGATAGTATGTCCTCTGGGGTTAAACAGTGTTGTATAATAAAGTTTCAAGGGAAAGAGAACGTCAAGGAGGCTGATACTTTTCGAAGATGACAAGCACAGTTCGGGGAAGACTATCTAGAGAGGAGAAGTGTATCTGATTGTGCAAGAAATTTCAAGACGGCCAAGAATCCTTGACAATTCCTTGAGCGTGGCCATCCGTCCGAGACTGTTGTGAATCCTGTAAATATCCGGCAAATTGGAAATTTTATTCTGGAAAATTGTCGCGTCACTGTGCATGATTTTGCAGCGGAACTAAACATCAACATTGGGAGTGTCGAAAACATTATTCACACTCACTTTAAGTTCAAAGAGGTGACTATGAGAAAGGTACCCAGAGAACTGACATTCAAACAGAAGGCTAACCGAGTGAGCGCCGCGTCGGACCATTTCAACTGCTATGACAATGAGAAAGACAACATCCTCAACCGCATTTTGATGGGTAATGAAATGTGGATTCATCATTTAACGTCAGTATGAAAACGCTGAAGCATGCAAAGGCGACATCCCACACCGCCGTGGCCGAAGAAATTCAGGGGAATGACGAAGTGGTGAAATGGCTGCGCACTCGACCACAAGCATTCTAATGTCTCTGACGTTCAGGTGTTGCCAAAGCGATGAGACAAGTACTTCCATGTAGGAGGGGAATACCTCGAGAAGTATGCGTAATATGATAGAGATCAGATGTACCATAGATTTTCTGGAATGAAAAGTCCAGGTAAGTATTGAACCACCCACGTATAATTTCATGTAAATTGTAAAGCAATATTGCCTATTATTGTGCACCGTCATAAGGACGTTGGGGATATATGATAGTGAGAAACATTAAATGCGAGATGCCTTCGCAGTGCCTCATGTGAAAATAAGACGTCCAGTTCAGGATTTTTTCTGGGATATCTCCGCGCTGTGCTAGTACGTATAGCATTAAGATGCCACATCGTTCAGGCATATCAAAACTGTCCTACTGAATATATCTTTAGGAAGTCTCATGAGTACCTTGGGGCAAGCTGTCCAGTTGGGGACACCCCGATGATGCCTCGGTCCATTTCATGCCATACCAACTTCCATCTTAAAATTGTAATTCTAGCCTACCTCTACCTCTCCTATGATAAACTCATCCACTGTGCAATAAACTCATAAAAGGGACATTCAATCGCAGAGAAACTTTCAAGTGAAAGTGGGGGAGGGGGTAATGAAGGAAAGGAACACGTAATTGAAAACATGTCAAAGTTTTATTAGTTTTGTTTTTTTGCTTCATCACAAGCAGTGGCGTGGCAGGAGGTTTAGGGGGTTAGAAACTTCCCCCCCCTGGGCTTCCCAGCCAGCGACAGACAGGCATACTTCAACTTTCCTTGGGAATTCCAATTTTAGCTATGCCTCTTTGAGGAAAGTCTGATGTCTGTCCACAGACCCAAGATGCACGACCATGATCTCTTTGAAAAGGTAAATTCCGGGTAGTGGAGCAAAGCGTAGGGTAGGGATGTCTACCTGGTCTCAACACCTCCCTTGCCGATTTCCTGCCTACGCTACTGATCACAAGGATATTCTTTTGTTTGCTAAAAGAGCATTTTTGCCAAATTTGCATAGAGGGGGCCATTTAAGAATCTATAGGAAGCCCTTGTAAATCTTGGCTATTTCCTGCCAAATACGGGGCTTCGTTTGGATGAGGTGCTCATATATGAATAGGCGTAATGAAGTATGAAGGACGTCAGTTACATCAGAATAAACAGATCTTTGTATTTGTTTATGAAGAAAGAAACACACGGTGTCTTTCAAGTTAGAGCAATATATTTAAAAAAAATTGCCTCCATTAAACTTTAAATGTGAAATTCCCAATCTCCAATTTTTACTTAAATCGAAGGAATTCGTGAAGCGTTAGCTCATTTCAACCTTCTGGTCAGGATCATCCTCAATTAGTGCCATACACGATTTGAACCTTTCAGCTCTTCATCAGAAGGCAAATCCTAGTCTCAAGTGTCAAAAAAACTTCTACATTTCTTCTGACATATTTCCAAATTTCAGACTCCCATTGTGGTCTAAAACCACAAAGAAGTTTATTTTAATAATGCCACAACGCAATTAAATGCTTTTGATACAATTTAAAACTTTGCTCTGCGGTCAAGATAGCTTTTTCTTTTACCTGGGGTCTTCGATGTGTTTCTTCTTGTACAGGGTGGCGCAAAAGTCGTGCACCATAGGGAATTTCACCGTTGTACTACCTTAACACATTAACCGCCAAGTTCGAGATATCTCGTACTATATTTCCATATGTCAGACGCCTAGTACGAGAAATATCTCTGACTTCTAACATTGCATGATGGGAGCACTGGATATTAACTTTTTTTAAATACAATGTGTCAATTCCTGTTTATTTCTTTGCAGGTAAGTGATGGCTGCAAAATTAACTAAAGAAGAGAGGGTGGGGTTAAGATATGTTCAAACTCGTGTGCAGCGAATCGAAGTGTTTTCAGGGTAATGGCAAACGATTCGGACATTTATTTGACTTTAATTTCCCCTATAGTGTACGACTTTTGCGCCAGCCTGTATAATGCCCTCACAGATCGCTGTTCCAGCCAGCTAAGTGAACTTTGCAAAGGTAGAATATACATGCAATTGTAGAAGCCTGCAAGGCACAGTTTTTGGAACAGCAGCCTGCTAGTTGGAATCCTTTTCAGGCTGACCCAACCTCACTCCATGACCTGCTTGCTGACAATACCCGTTATTAGTGTTAAAGTGAATATCACTCTTGGTTTTTTTGAGTTGGGTTAAGGGGAAATCAGAAGGGCAGCTCACAATTTGCACTTGTCTTTTAGAGGTGCTCTGGAAAAACGCCTACAAGAAAAAATGCCCGCGGAAAAAACGCCCATAACTGCAAAGTACGAAAATTTGCCCACTTGCATAATATTTCCAAATATCTCTTACGGTTCCTTTTTTTCTTGTAAAAACAAATGCATTATATTTTCAAAACATTATTTATAACCATTTAAATGGTTATATATCCCATTATATATACATTAAATATATCCCATGTATCAACGTAATAAAACATGAATATGAAAGCATACATTCCCAAGATTTACATTTCAGAATGTTTTAACGCTGGATAAATGAAAGGAGGACTGTTTCCGGGAATGCACAGGAAAACGTGGGAAAAAGTCATTTGAGATAAGATCTGGTGTGTGGGATTATGTTGCTATTTCGCCCATCCTTTGGACTCTTTCCGATAGCAATGGGGGTAATTGAAGAGTGACATGCGACGTTTGACATGAGAATGTCCGATCGTCTGCAATTATCTCAGAGGTAGGGGCATATTGATCCTGAGGAAGGCTGAAAGATAAAGCTCCATTCAGAGGATCATGTGAGAAAATCTTTAAATAGTGTTTAAGACAAGACTACCGACTCTTGATTGATCCCTCGTGCCCCCTGTGAAGTATAGGAGGTGAAGATGCCATTGTTCGAAGTACAGTATTTACCGACGGATGATACGGTGTTTCAATAATACTTATTCATTTCACTTCAAGTAACCATGGAGTTCATTACGAACCAGAAAGGCGGACGAAAAGTTATAGTGCTTTACATGGGTTTAGGGAAAAAGCCAGGAGTGGCTTTTTTTTCCTAAACCCACGTAAAGCACTATCAGGAATTGTTTCGCGGAGTGAGACATACTAATCGTTATGAGAGAAATTAAAAGAGCTATTGAAAGTTCCACTTTGCAAAAACGTTTTTAGTGCCACCAATTTATATATTTAAATTTTTACTATTCCTGCTATGCAATCAAAAATATGAATTTTTTTTGCAGAATAAAGAAAATAAAAACCAGAAAAATATTCAAGTGGGCATTTTTTCGTACTTGGCAGATATGGGCGTTTTTTCGTATATTCCTTTTAGATGGGGCCTGATAATATCTACACAATATCCATTCCTTTGTCTGCCCTTTACCTTCCATTTATTAAGAATAGAACTTCTTTTGCTGTGACAAGGATGTGTTGCCAAGGGTTTAGATCACTGCATCATTACCTCAAAACAATCATTTGGATGGCCCATATAATTAGCAAAATCTGCATAATGCAATGATTTAATCTAATAATACAAGGTATATATGAAAACAACATTGACACCCCATGGAATGAAGCGATTGAAGCAGGGAGAGAGGATGAATTAGGAGGACTGGCAGTAGATGCATTCCAAATTTCCAGGAATAAGAACTTTAACCAGGGATCCTGCTATTTTCACTCCATAATGCCCAGCCCAGAATTGAGTGTCCTTCCCATGATGAACAAAATTCACATACTTCACCCCTTTTCCATAATCCTGGAACACGTGATGAATCTGTTTGAGATAAAGATCAAGGTGAAACAGTCAAGTAATAACACAAGATGGAGGAGGCAGGGGTGAAGTTAGATAAGCATGGAAAAAATGAAACCTACATGATGCCATTGTTTTCCCAGCCATTGCTCTTCCCTCCAATGAAAGTCAAAACGATCTATGACAGCATTTGCTTCACTTCTGAGCTCCACCTCCAACTTGTATTCACACCCACAGTCAAAACGAGCTGCATACCTGAAACACCTCTTTTTATTTCAACACTTTTTCCTGTTGTTATTAGGCTTCTTATGAACCATATTTCAAAACTTAACATAAGATCTATAAAATAGAGCAATTTTGCCCTGGAGATGCAATTGTCAATCTTGTTTTCACATAGCCCATCACACAGGCTGTGGATTTGATGCATCCCCTGATACTTAGACATTGAACTTTGATGCCACACTTTGTGATCTTTGATGCCTTTGTCACACTCAGCAGCCAATCTGAATTACAAGGTCAGTGGACCCAACTACATCCTAAAAACCCTTTGTTTTATGCATATCATAACCAAAGAACAGACAAAAGTTACCAAAACAAAAGCAGTCTTTCCTTCACAAACTATCAATTCACCCTCTGCAGCATGAAAAAAAAACTGAAAACAAGAAGAGCAGATAATATCTTAATATTAATATGATTATTAATATTACCGTATTTACTCCAGTATAGTGCGCCACCGTGTATAAGACGCACCCCCGCTTTTGAGGTCCCAATTTGTGCATAAAAAAAAAGATACCCCGCGTATAAGGCACACTCCCCCCCCCCCTATTTTGTAGCGAAAAGTGTCGGACAAGGGAGATGAATAAGGGGTAAAGCCGGTCTTGAGGTAGGTCGAACCTCGTTTCTTATTCACTGTCCTAGAGCTCCGCGAATCAATTTTCCACGCTGCCAGACACCTCAGATTCCGACTCCGACACCGAATGAAGTCCGCGAATCGACGTAGCCACTCCCTGTTTACTGTTTTATAACTATTATATTTCTCCTGTTCTGACTGACTGCAGACAGTTTCCGCCTCAAATTAGTGACCAATGAGTTATAGGTACGCGAAACATTTTTTTCTCGAAAAAGAGAATTTTTTCCCTCGTGTATGAGACGCACCCCCTTATCGAACACAATAAAATATGCAAAAAATGCGCCTTATACGCGAGTAAATACGGTAATATTATCAATATTAATATTACTAATAATAATATGAATACCCCTTGTATATGGCTTGACATAACTAGTCATCACATAAGAAGTTAACTATGGCTGGGAAATTACTGGATGGACTGAATTACTTCAATGGATGAATATCTTTAAGCTGCAATTGTTAAAAGTTGCTTTGTTATACTTATGCTTTCTTTCAAAAAAAATTTTAAATTGCCTCTAAAGGGACTTTTGTCATAATCTGTGCTATGCCCTCAATGAGCTGTAAGGTCATTTCTAGAAGGATGAGACCATATTTTCCAAATTTACCAAGCATACCTCTTCAAAAAACAGTGTCACTTCTGTAAAAACTCAATACCTGTCAGTAAAGAAAGAAGTCAAGATAAAACATACCAAAGTTGTTTCTGATGCACCACTAAAGAAAACCTATGTACATCATGTCAACATTGCCATGTGCTACCATCCAGAGGAGAAAATGTGCTTTGAGAAATGGACATTGACTTATGACGTACACTATTGTTCGGATAGATATAAGCACTGAACATTATTTTAAAAAATTATAAAAAGAATAGCCATCAAGTTTCAAGAATCATATAGGTCTAATTGGCCTAACTGCATCAACACATGTACTGGTATGTGCTTTCTGCCTGTCCCTGTTCACCACAGGCATATTAGTCCATTGCACAGAGCCTGGCCAGCTTCAACCAGTGCATACTGGAATGCAGTGTTCTTTGAGTGACCATATCTCAGCAACTGCTTGAGATAGACTAAAGCCAAAAGAACCCATGCATAGAAAAACAATCTCATCTTGTCCAGCTGACAATTCAGTTATCATAGTGCATCTGGAAGAACTGAGAGATGCAACAAGAGAAGACCAATGGGGTATGTTCTCGGCACAGTAGAGAGTGGACAGACAAATAGGAGGGAAAATGTATAGCATCTCTTATCTCATATTCCTTAAATCTTATCAAAACTAGAGATGAGTTAGAAATTGTTGATCATTGAAATAGTTGTAGGTGAAACATGAATTTGACTAACGTAAGTTCAATTAAACTTCTTATTGCTTCTGTTGGTCAAATCATTCTTATATGCTCTTGTGTCCTGAGCCACATGGTGATAAGAGACAGAAAGGAAGACTTCATGCCCATGAAAGCTAACTAACTGAACTGAACAGAGATGGGTTAAATGTAAGCATGACTTTCAAAAGAGGAACTTTCAAGTTTATCTCCCTTCAAATTCCCAAAAAACAAGCTTGAAATAAAACCAGTCCACAGTGGGTCAAAGCAGGTAAAAATCTGACCAAAAGTACAACAAAGTTCACATTTCATCTCATAAAGAACTTTCATAAAATTCAGAAATGCCACATATGAGCCCACTTGACAAAACAAAGGATGTTCTTATATTTACAGGTTAAATTCTCAGGAATTTTTATAAGACCATGAATTTCTATTTTTTATGAAAATTATCACTCATGTTACCATGGTGACAATCACCTATCTTTGCACTTGTGCATGAAAGCAATGATGGAGGAGATGCCCTCTGGTACTCACTCTCAAACAACTCAGGCATTTAGTTTCAACTCCAAGAGTTCATTTTATAGCTAACGTCAATCTTTGCATATTAAGAATGTTATTCATAATAAGCAAACGGCGACATGAATGGGATGCAAAAATTTCCCTGCTAAATTTTTATTGCTATCAATATCTAGACATCTATTTTTTTGCCATAAAGTTTCCAACTGCCCTGGCTTGCCCTGTGAGCAAGCTACTAATACAATGTGTCCCAAAAAAGGAGGCCACTTTATTTATTAAAATTATATCCAACCTATTTTCACATGTGCCTCACTATAACCAACAAATTAAATCTTAGATGAATAAGAAGGTTTCTGCCAAGTTTAAGAAAGTCTTGACTAGTGATTCAAATGCAATAACTTAAAAAAAAAAATCAAGTTAGTGATAATTCTGTCTACTGCTTCCTACCAGGTGCATCCCTCCATGCACTCCAACACAACCGAGCAGTTTCAATAAATTGGTTTTTCATGCTTCTAACCCTGTGCTTTCAAAAATACATTTGGTTCCAGTTGCTTTTTTTATTATAATATAATCTTTTCTGTAGACTTAGGGCCTGCTAGGTCCTAGGTCTGCAGAAAAGTTATTCTTATAGTTTTTGTCATGTTATGAATTACAGCATTCAAAATTACAAAATGGTATGGGATTCAATGAAGATAAGAAGCACCTCCTTGAAGGCTCATGAGAGATGAAGAGGTACAACTCTTGTTGGTTCATGAAGAAATTCCTTTGGGTACATTGAGAATATCAAGGTAAAGCACTCCTACATTATACAGATGGTACTATCCAAAGTAAATTCCATAATAGCATGAATAGAGCAAGTTTTGAAACCATTTGAGAAAGCAGAAGCAACTGCATCAGGCCTGGATGATGAGAAGAGAGTTCTGTGAGAGGTTGAGAGGGAGATCAAGTCCTTCTGCATCTTACCATCACATACATTAATTCCTTAACAGCATCAACCATGTATGAGCATCATCTGATTCCCTCTTACAACACAGTAAAGACCTAATAAACTGCTACCAAGAGGAAGATGTGATGGTGTTGAAGGATTGAAAATCCACTTTCATCCATCTGTATTAAAAAGTATCACTTCACTGACTTGTACAACATTGTCAAAATAAAATTTATATTTTTTAATTCTCAAAGAAACCTGAAAGAATCCGTTGTTAAGGCGTTAATACACATAAGAAACAATAAATATACTTTCAGTTTCACAGGAAAATGGACAGTTGTACTCAAGTATCAAAATCCTTGGGGATCGGGACATGAGTGCAACTCACCAATCAGCAACAAGGATAGGAGGCTGGATGCGATCCAAGAATGATGGTGAAAATCCTTCACTGTAGAGGTTTACACATTGAGACTTAGAGCTCAAGAAGTAGGAGGTGACAAAGCATGAAGAGGCCCCAACAATGGCAGGGACAGAATCACTGCCAGCTGGTGGATCCTCCACAATCCAATGGTTCATGTTATTTGGTATGGTCCATCCTTCCCGTACAGCTGCTGCTGCTAATTCCCCACCTTATAATGCATACAATAAACCTCCAGGAAAGGATAAGGCTGGGAAGACGAAAACAAACATAAGGTTCACAAAAAGTCTGCATGCAAAAAATACACAAGCAGAAACCAAACCTCTCAGAATAATTAAACCTTTAATGAGATTGAAAGATACACTAGAAGAGATGGGGGAAAAAGAAAGGAGGATGATGGGAGGATGGAGGCGTCTTTCTGGAACCATATATAACTCTGATTGGCAGTTTACACAGTGGAAGAAATATTGATATTCTACATAATGGATGTTAAACAACCACAATAAAAACAATTATTTCCACTGATGGACACTGCTTCAACATGCTGATTAGTTGAACATCAGTCATAGAAGGATGCAGGAGACAGTTGTATCAGATTGTAACAGATGGCTTAATGGTGTCCATCCTGGTGCCTGGGAAGGTTTTCTTGGCCCTCCAACACTTGGCCAGTACCATTAATCAAAACAACCAAGTGTTCATGTATGCCACTTAGAATTCTTTTTACTGAACTTCTCCATGTCTCATGGACAGCCACAGCACCAGCATAACAAAGCTTTATCTCACATTGTATTGAAAATGTTTAGAGAAGTCATGTTTTAACACATGACAATCAACTAAGTAGTCATTTCTATATTCATTAGCCATTTTCTGAGTTTGACTCCTAATTAATTGAAAAATCAATTTTGTCATAGAGTTGCTAAGGACCATATTTTTAGTCCTTGTTGAGCTCTACAATTTTGATAACATGTCTCAAAGGAATAAACCACACATAAACAAAATGCCCCAAAAAGGAAACTTATCTTGAACTTACCTATACTCACAGTGTATAAAAATTCATTAAAAGAAAAATCAAGCATTTGGCAAAGGGTAACTATAACCCTTTAATGCATGATGTAGCAGATATTCTACATACCAAATAATAATTTTTTAGAATGCACAGGTAGCAAGCTCCTGAGGTAAATCTGTTCGTAACAGATGTGCAACAGTCTGGTCCCGTAGCAACTTTGTGGTCACTAAGTGCCATACACTCCTGGTGGCAATCAAATTAAAACCAATCTGGCTTTGTCGTAAGGCAGATTGATGTCTTGGACTTTTATTATTTAATTTTCTTATTAATGCAGGGTCCAGGCTCTTTCGTATTTTTACATTTTCTTTTGTGTTGAGGTATGTATGAATGCTGATGGACTGACTGAGCTCTCTAGCATCCATGCAGCATGGGTTAGAAAGCTGAAAATGCTGTTAGTAGCAAATGAGCAACAATAACATTTTTGGGCCTACAGCTTACAAATTTTATTTAAAAAAATTTTTTTCTAATTGATCCATGTTTTAGGACATGAGTGAAACCTACTAGATTTTTTTCGCTGAAAAATAAAAAATCATGCATTAAAGGGTTAAAATGAAACCAACTCCAGATTTTCAGTGTGTAGAGCCAATTCACAGAGCAAACATGGCCAACTTATGGCCTTTTCAAATTTCCAGGCGAAATGAATTCTGACAACGAAAACATCACACAAGAAAGTTATTATAAGAGCAGTTTCTTCAGTGAAAGCTTCCTTTCCCATAGCCATCCCATCATGGTATCTCATTGTAACTAAAAGTTATGTTTTCACCCACATGAAAATTCTATATATAACAGGGTGTGTGATTCTATATGGTCATGTATATGTTTGAGTGCCATGCCTTCATTCAACAATTCCTTCATTGGATTATTTCTGAAAGAAATACAGTTTTTGTTCCCATCTATCTTGTGAGTTATCAGTGAAAATGAAGACACTCTTACATGAGTAAGCCAAGTTCTTTCATGAAACAACATTACTGATGAAATACTCATGTCTATAATATTGAAATTTTCACCTTCATTAAGAAGGGTGCATACATTGAACACCATGAAACATGAGTTCTTGAAGTAATTGACTATGGTCTATGAACACTTAAAAATGAGTTGATTGCAAGTATGTTGACTTGCATTTGAATGATTATACAGTATTTGAAGGATTATGGATCCTTTTTGGATACAGGCATCATTGGAGTAATCTCACCATACAAAGATTTGACATAGTTTATGTGGACAGTATATAGTGCATTTGTATGAGCCAATACATGAAAATGTATGGGGTCATACGAGGGTCATTCAATAAGTTATCTACCTGAATAAGAAACATCTGAGGGGAAAAATAACACTTTATTTTTCAATGTAGTCACCTTTTAACTCAACACACTTATTCCACTTTGATTCCAAGGATTTTATTCCCTGGGAATAGAAGTCAACTTCTTGTCCATCAAACCAATCAGAAACGGCAACTTTCAGCTCTTCATTGCATGAAAATCTTTTTCCCCGCAAAAATTTTTTCAAGTGTCTGAACAGAAAATAGTCACTAGGAGCCAGATCCGGGCTGTAGGGAGGATGGTTGAGCTCCTGAAAGCCACACTCCCTCACTGCTGCCTGAACTTTCCATGATTTGTGGANAGCTCTTTACTGGTTCCAGTTCCTTTTTTGATTGTGTCTATTTTATAACTCTTTTTGATGGAAGTTTTTCCTTTAAACAAATTTTTCATTGCTTTTTATATTTCCACTCATGCATTTTTATTCACTTCTTTTTTTTTAATCATTCCTTTGATGAGTAACATGCACAAAATGAAGAATTGGTTCATTAATTCAATGGTGAGTCAAACATGTTTGCTCATCCCTTTCATATTCAGGTAGATAACTTATTGAGTGGCCCTTGCATATTTTTATTCTTATATGATTTAATGCAACTTGTGTCAAACCTCATATATGTTTCTTATATGTTCATATATGAACTGCACTATATGGTCATATATGCCCCATATATGAAAATATGACATGGCATACATGGTGCATTTGTATGAGCTAATATATGAAAATATAGGGACCATATATTTTCATTCTTATTTGATTTTATATGACTTGTGTCAAACCCCATATATGTTGGACTGGCTAAATATATGGCCATTTCATGATCTTATATGAAATTTTCACATGGGAGAAATCAATGATTTCTTTAAAATGAATTATTTCAAAGGCCCCCATAGACCAGCCACATGCAGGTTCCTTTACTGTTATTTCATAAAAAGCACTCCAGCTGCAACCTGTAAAGGATTTAATTAAACAAATTATGGAACCTAACAGGAACCAAGAGATGTGTCCTGCAAATATTCATGTTAAGGAACAAATTGAAACAACTTCACAAGTTCAAGTCAGTTGACTATCTGAACCTATGAAACATGTTTCCTTAATAAAAATTTGATTATAAGCACATTTGAAACATGGAAAAACATGATCAGGGAAAAATCTTTACTCGAAGGTGCCTGCCAAAGATAAACTCATTCTGAAACAGGTTTGAGCAAACATGTTTGACTCACCATTGAATTAATGAACCAATTCTTCATTTTGTGCATGTTACTCATCAAAGGAATGATTAAAAAAAAAGAAGTGAATAAAAATGCATGAGTGGAAATATAAAAAGCAATGAAAAATTTGTTTAAAGGAAAAACTTCCATCAAAAAGAGTTATAAAATAGACACAATCAAAAAAGGAACTGGAACCAGTAAAGAGCTTTTTTCACTCCTTTCTTACCACCATTAATGGAAAATATATTATTACCTGAGACTTCTAATTGGTACTTAGTAATTATTGACGATATTGCTGTTCTTCCAAAATTCATTCAGAAACATGAAATGACCATGGCAATCATCAGCGTTTACAAAATAAGTAGTTAGATTAAGATCCATCAGCACTGCACTAAAATCAGTCTTATTAGGCAATGCTAGCCCCTCAAGTTAACCTTTTAGTTGTGGCTGTCCAGTATGCTGGTCCAGCACATTGAGCATTGCTCTTTGCAGCTGTCCAGTATGCTGGACAGTTTCTGCCTGCTTGCAATTGTAGTTCTTGCCCCTAGGTGCTGAATGCTTCCAGCATGTGATGCTTGGCCATTTTTGGAACATTTTTTGTCCCTTGCTGTCAACCTCCCATGGCTTGTGATGGTTCATTTAGAAGTAGTGTCAAATCATTCTTGTTATTTACTATGTATACAGTGTTGTCTCTATATTTTTCCATTTGTATTAGAAACCCACAATCTACCAATAAATAAATTTTGTGTTATCATTGAAACTCAGAGTTTTCCTCTACTTATAAATAATTTCATCTATATATTTTGGGGGCTGAAGCCCCCCACCCCCTCCTTGTCTACTCCTAAGACATAATTTTACATGAATGAAAATTTTATGACAGAAAAGTATTTGCCTACCTTAACCCTTTGAGTGGTGGGTTTTTACATCCTCGCTGGACCTACAGGAGTGAGTTTTTTTTAGATTCCGCGATTGTGACGAAGAAAATTACAAGATTTATTTTCCTTACATAAATTAACATCGTACTTGCATATATTTTTAAAATAAGTTTTTGGGCATATGAATATTGGGAGCTCTGAAGTGATTTTGTACATTTCTCTTGTTTCTAATCTTCCAAAATGCTTAAGGTGTGGTACTCTGCAAAGCATGGATGGATACAGAGTCCGACATCACAGGTGATGCATTGGTACTGGGAATCAGTCCTCTATTGCTGATGTCTTTTGATTCTTTTGCATATTTATGGGATTATATGCAATTTAAATTCACAGAAAAAGTTCTTGGAAGACATGGCTAGATGGTAGCACCTGTCTGGTCAGTCTTATGACCCATCGCATACATTTGCGCTTGGAAAACCGCATGAAAATATGAACCTGCATATATATGGGCATACTCTGGTAGTACCACTGGCATTGCCCTTATATATACAGGCATACTCGTCGAAGGGTTAAGGCAGGCAAATTCATTTCAGATAGATACCAACAGATATTCTGTATGGAAATTTGTATAATTGACCTTTGAATCATTTTTAAATGCTACAACAGTGAATATGCTGATAACTCAGCACTTGGGATGCAGTTTTAAAAACTCAACAGTCAAAGGATGAAGTGTTGTGTAAGCTAAGTGCATAAGATAGACACAGGCTTATATGCCCATGTTTAACCTGAAGTTAGAAGCTTGTACAAAGTCATAACATTTCACTTCAGGGCCTTAGTATTTGTTGTTAGATTATCCTTAGTTAGAACATTTGCTAATCATAGTCATGATATGACACAACATGAACTCTAACAGAACCATTCTAGCTTCTCTACAATAGGAGTGGCCATGGAAGGAATCACATTTCTAAGGGAATGAACAGTCTTCAATCAGAAATATTCTGCATCTGGTAAAATCTTCATAGAGGACAAGAACCTTACCAGAATGCCCACTGGGATTCTTCAGAAGATTTTTGCGAGAGAAAGGATCTTTGAGATGGAATTGAAAGAGGTCATTCAATGTCCACAAGCCTGGATCGTCCGAAAGAGCAACGATGGAAAAACCCTTTCTTTTCAAAGCAAGGATCCATGTGTAGGGATCATAAACAATATTCCTCCATGCCCGACACACCCTTGAGCAGGTAAATGCTAAATCCCGTGCTCCCAAGAATGAGAACACAACAGCAAGAATCTCAGGTGACACAAGGCATTGGCCAAAACAAAGTCCATTCCTTCTTTTCTCTTCATCCTCCTCTTGTTCCTTGGTAGGCTTGCTCCCCATGTTCATTGGCAACTGATCACATGAATAGAGTCTGCAACAAAAATGGGATGGATACTCTTACTCAGTAATTCTTGGAGTAATAGAGTGCTCTGCTCAGGTATCAGCTAGTTTTCTAAAGCAGAACAAGTGAACAGTATCCACATTGCCAATCATAGGCACCATTTTTCATCAGCAATGGTAAAGAACTGTAAGACGTTTTGGAACTAATAGTTTAATAGCTTACCAGTTATAGTCTCTAGAATTGGATGGGGCCACTTCCAAACAATTATTTTCAGTGCTAATGGATATCATCATCATGGAACAGATATTGAGGAGTAACTTTCAGTTCCACTCACACAGCAGTTTCCTACCCATGTGGGGTAGCAATGGCAAAGTATTAACTGCAATTGTTCTCTTAGCATAGGGGAAGCACTTGCTATGAAGCTCCAGCTACAGTATATTCCATTGTAGCTACATGATATAATTTTATATGAAAGAGAAATTTGTTATTTTTACAGTTTCAATCATGATCTTCTCTTTATAGAAACAACACAACTCAAATAATATTATTATTACAAAACTGTGCAAATAGAAGGTAATCCTATCTCAGCTGTGTTCAGACATGGAGGACATGAATTATTTTTTCTTTTGTAAATATTTTTTCTGGCTCATTCAGCTTAGGGCAATTACAGAGCACCAGTTCAGTTTCAATTTGGTCACCTTTGGTCAGAAATTAGCCTGGAATTAGTTTAATCCATGAAAAACCTAGCTAAAACTGAAGTTACACCTGTGAACCCAAATTCAAACCATAAGTTTTCATGTTCACATATAGGTTCACAAATTTCCGAATGAAACTGAAACCAAAGGTCATGAACCTTAAAGCACTACTGACCAAATATTGATCAGTGACAAAAAGTACTCCCAGACCTGTTTTTGCCAAGTGGTGTGAAGAGCCTTAAAATGAATTGCCAATAACTTTATGCATATTGCATGCCATTCTGAAGTTCATGACCCTGAGGACATCAATAAATTACATCGCTCAAAAAAATGAAATAACTTGGTCGATTCTAGAACCACCTGCAGTGCTAATTCCTCACTATAATTTCTGCTGCAACAGCAGCATGAGAAAGCTTCCATGCTTACGTCTGTCACATAACCATCAAGGCTACACAACCCATTAGCTAGACAAGGTTCATACCTTTGTTTCCTGGAAGAACCAAGTGCAGAGTCTTTTGGGCAAGTGGATATGATGATGCTCAAAAAACAATCGGCTTGACTACTGTCAGGCAGCTAAAGGCTTTCCCTGGTGTGGAGATGCATGCCCAAAGCGTCATATCACGTTCTTAGGCACTCAATGATAGAGAGAGAGAATTTAAAAAGTACTTGATGGTCCTGATTTAAGCCAAACCACCTAAGGGAAAGACAGAAAATGACCAGCTACTGACCCCATAAGCAGAGAACAACTCCTTAGCCTGCTTCACATGAGTCTCAAGCTTCCACACTACCTCCCATCCCAAAATAGTCCCAAAAAATATATAAGATAAAATAAAAATTCAGGGTTATATATATACCTGTTTATTTATTTATTTTAAATTTTATATATGATGGCCACATGACATAGAAAGGTATAAATCACTTGGTTAATACAGTTAATAGCTTGTATCATGGCCAGAGGCCATACAGAGTACTAACTGTGGTGCTGTCACATGATTGTGTCATGCTACTGGGACACTAGGTATCAGAGTGTGATTGATCATTTGCATACCTCGATGTCTCCAATAGATGGCCAAAGTTTGGTAGCAGTATCATTGTCTGTTCTTGGTGTTCATATGTTTTTTGCCAGCAGTGTATATATACAAAAAAGCCCACAAGATGGCAGAAGATCTCTGTATCCTATGTGGACATCAATCATGCCAGATGCTGTTGCTGAGAGACAAGAAATTCATGAATCCATGATAAGTAAACACATCAAGCTAGCACTAAGTGGGAGTTGAGGCATGATATGTTAACACATCATGTAAGCAGTGAATGGGTTAATGCTATTCCCTCCAAGTGATGAATGTTCCTTAACCCTTCAAGTGGGTTCAATGTCACTGTGACAACCACTATGGTATATCTATTGAAGTGGTAAGAAGTAAGAGTGAAGTCCAGTATGGTAGTGTACTTTTACGACATCTCATGGATAATAGTTAAGCTCTGGAGAAGGAGTCAACAGCTCCACCATAAGTAAATCCACTCCTCGCTAGACTGATAGAGTGACACTTTGCAGAACACATACGACCGACAGAGAGAAAAACAAAGCCATACCAAAAGTGTGTTGTTTGAAGTAAACAGACAATGAGGGAAGAAACTATGTGGTGGTGCCCAGATTGCAAAGCTGCTTTCTGCATAGAAGAATGTTTTAAAAGCTACTATTCACAGTGGTACTTTTAACATGTGAACCTCATGATAGGTTTTGGTTCTCTTTGTCTTATTGTCATGCAATTAAGTGCTTATTTCCATGAAACCAAGTTAAGTGGACTTGTTTTTTGCTTGATGCTATCAATATCTCATATCATCAAAAGTAACTGAAATAAAATTTGCTTAAGAGAAGGTTATGCTGTCACACAAGACTAAATAAAAATATTACGACAACAGAGAATGTTCTGCCTTCTTAAATGACCAGTTTGAAGGGTTAAATGATAGGAATTAGGAGATCCCTGTACTCACCCTGAGAAAAAGTAAAGAGCTAGAGAGGCTTCCAGCCTCCATCAGCAAATCCCTGCTAGTCAATTGCTCTTTTTCCAAAAGCATTCCCTCTTCATATTACCTAAATTTACATCCACATCATTTCCTTATTTGCATTTTGCTCACTCCCCATTGCAGCACCTACTAAAAATGTCATAGCATGCCTCAATTAAAATGCAACACCTGTGTATATTGGGGCATTTCAGAAGCTTCCTGTACTTTCAATTACCTCATGCTTCAAGGCAAAAGTAGAGATGGCATTCATGTCCAAGAGAGTAGGAAAAGGCACCAATCTAAAAACATGCATGTCATGTAAAAGCATGACATACAGGCTCCTATATGCATACAATTTGTATGTTGTGTGTTGGATTTGAGGGACCCAAACGCACATTCCTTTTAAATTGTAAATATTGAGGAAATAAAGGGTTTTACAGTACGTTTGACTATTTAGGAGCAGGAAAACTATTTTGAATGACAAAATTAGCATATGACTCCAGCAATGACCAACAATTCTGTAACTCCAAGGGGACTGTTTGATATTTGAGGTCCCCAGCAAAAATGTTGCGAGTACGCTACAGCAAATACCCATTTTCTTAGGGCCCTTTGCATCAACTTCCTTCTGGACAGATCGGGGTTCGGTAGCCGAGTGGTTCTGGCTTCCGAGTGAAACCCGGGAGGCGAGGGATCGAATCCGTGTGGCGGCGGGCTCTTCCTCCGCCAACAGGCGACCCACCTGCTTTCATGGAGAGTATCTGCTTAGCGTGGGATAACATACACGCCACTCTGTGTGCCACGTCTAGCAGATGCGGGTGCAGTACACCTTAAAAACCACTCCTGCCAGTCATGGGCGTAGGCAACCCATGAGCTGCCCCTAAAGCCTCCTACAGGACCGAAGAGGGGTGTCCCAGCCTAAGGGAATGTGATACGGATGTGGTGCTCGTGCCAAGCGGGCACCCCTCTTCCTCTGTCGTAAAATGCGTCCGTTGTCGTGTACGTCCGTCACATGTCCTGTCTTAAAAAAAAACTTCCTTCTGGACAAGTTACACACTATTGATGCGAGCCTTGCCTCTGTCGATCGTCTAGGGCAGAAGGCTATAGCTGCAAGGAATGGTGAAATTATCCCAGTCACTTTGCTGCTGAAAATGGTCCATGCTGCTTTTATTTTAGTTCATTAATTCCTGGTAATCGTGGCTCAATCTATTGTAGATATCCTAAATTTGCAGATTTCACTCATTTCATAACCTCATCCAGACCTACCTTGTTCCTGTGAGCCAGGATTTCTCTTAATTTTCTTTTCTCATTCATGCTAGTCTGTCAGCAAATGCAGGCAATAATGCCTTCCCTTCTTGCAATGATGGTTGTAGTCATTGCTCCTGGGAAGTTCTGAATTTCCTTCAAATAACTATAGTCATCTTCAAGAAGACTACAAAGCAGTCTTCAGGAACTGCATCAGGGGTGCAGTTTTACCATAATTTGTGGAGAAAAAGGATCACTTCCATCCTGATGCCATACCCCCTCACAACCTTGTTTGAATTCCAGAAGAGCAGTTTCCACCTGTAATTATGTGACCTTACTGTGAAGTTTCCAATTTCCATTCTGAACATGTTGGGGATTCCTTGCTGTGGCAGGGAATCCTTAGTACAGAGTCCCACAAGAGACTAATGTGAATTTCATTTTAAAAGAGACCGGGCTCGTTAACTTGCATGGATTCCATAGCAAGGGAAGTGACATAAACATGAGCTTATATACGTTATACAGGATGTCCCATTTGATAGTAGCCCGACAGTCGTTCCGTCTTGTTTGCTGTTGGAGGCCGTCTTTCGCAATAGTTGCGATAGTCCGTTGTGCTATAGCAGGAAATGCTTAAATACTAATGCGGAATGAGGAAACATCAACAGTGATTTTGAAGATGGTCATTCAAGCCTTTCGAAATTCTATGGCACGTCCAAGGACGGCATGTCCTTGAAACCCCGTAGAAACAATCGACGTATTGACCGACGGGGGCTCTCCTCAATTCGTCTTCGCTTGTCATGAGCAGTTTCCTCATTCTGCACGGTTCGAACGCGAACTGAGGTATCTCATCCCGTACGGAACCTGTTTCCCGCCACTTTGCCACTAACTTCTGTATGGCAGGTTTTGCTGGCACTTTCACATCAGGATACTTCATGAAATATTTACAACAAATCTTTTAAGATTTGTTTTCAATTATCAACAATAAATATCCGCTGCTGCAATGAAAGCTGCATCGCTCGCAACACTGCTTCCTACTCTTCGAGAAACACGAACGCGTACCGTTCTGG